CATGGTGTAGAGTGAAGTAAAGCATGGATCAGAATTTACCCCTGAGTAGATCATGCAAAGACAGGATTGTGCTTTAAAGACTTATCAAAGTGAAGTCAGGAACAATGTCAATACCATCATCTCTATTCATGCACGCGTTCACGTATTGTACGACCAGATCTGCAAGTGGCGATTGGTGAAGGTGAATTTGGGCACGTCAGGGAAAAAGCGGACAAGAGATTGTGGATTCTTTGGTATCATTGCACCAACACCGCACCCCGCCTTTGTCAGAACTGAATAAACAATCAGAGAATCGAAGAAGCCTCAGGCTATTCATATATTTCATTACTGACGACAGTAAGACATGGCGATGTTTGCGCATGTGTGGGGGCTGACATAATAAGAAGGTCCGTCCAAGCGTCCAGGGCACCCTCGAACAACCTTCAGCGACTCTCATTCCTGTACTACCGACCCACAACGACGGGCACGGCATTGCGGCGTGTAAATTCTCGGACAACACGTGAAGTAAGTCTAATCGTGTTCGTGATTATAATAGCGCGCTGACCAAAGTGTAGTTTCGCCATGCCGGCCCTCCGCAAGTCTCTCCGGGAGTCGCGCGACTTCAAATCGCAGCAAAGGTCCAGCACCACACCCTACGCCTCACCCACCGGCACCCCGAGCGAGCACGTCAACGAGAAGAAGCAACGTTCAATTACCGAGTGGACTGAACCCCAACCGCAAACTCTGGCCCCATCGTTCGAAGAGCACGGGTTTGCGCGGCACGGCGTCTTGGAGAATATGGCCCCCCTCGGTGTACCTCCAAAGGCCAAGGACAAGCAGCGCGCGCGCGCTCTCGACGGACCGGCTGCACGAAATTCGCTATTGGGCAAGAGCTTGGGTTTCGGTGGTGACGAGGTTGGGTCGACGCCAGAAGTCACTCCAGCTCCTGAGCTTGAGCCTGACGACTCAGAGCGGCAAGAGGAGGAAGAGATGCAGGCCGCTTTTCCCATCCTCGAGGACGACGAGGACGACGACTACGAGCCCGCGACAAAACCGAAGAAGAAAGTGAAAGTGTCGAAAACTCCCGTCAGGGGCAAGACCCCAGTGCAGAGCAAGACACCCGTCAACGGCAAGACGCCCACAATGAAAATCGGTCACACGAAGAGCGCCTCGGTTTCTGCGAGCCCGGCAGTACAAGCCGTCTCCATGTCGGAGCCAGTTGAGGCTGCGACTCAGCGCATTCAGATTGCTGTCAACGATGCGATTTCCAAAGCCAACAGCAACTCGGGCAAGCGCTACGTGGGCATTGCCTTGAGGCGCGCCTACGAGCAGAGCAAAATCGATTCAGACTTGGCAGACGCGATCGAATCAGTTATTCACAGAAAGAGCACCAATGCGCAGATGGTCCGATTTCGCATGTTCATCAAGCAATTCAAGCAAGAGGAAAGATGAGGTTGGGCTTGAGCAAGAACAGGCGCTATGACCAGCAATCCGCAGTGAATCATGGAGCCTCATTCTTCAGTCAGCAGCCGTCCCCAAGGGCCAGCAGTGAGATTGTTCCTGATGACTCTGCCTCCGCCGTCAACGACTACCAAGATCGAAACCTCCTGAACTCTACTAATTCGGCTACAAGCTTTTCACACAAAGCATTGCAATCAGCTCTCGATCAAAATTCAGGTCAAGCACTTCACCCGTTCAGCAGCGCACCCGCTCTTCCAGCGACTGCAGATACCTCAACTGAGTCAACACCAAGAATGCCGCCCAAGTCGCCCAGAAAACGAACCGCTACCAACGGGACTCAGGCCCAGGATTCTGCAATGGATGTGGACGGAGGATTATCCACCGGAGCACCCACTCCAGCAGCGAGGACACCGGACACTGGTGGGAGCGATTCTGAGCTGTCAGATGTCAACGAAGAGATCGTCCAGAAAGGCCCTCCAGAGCCTGTGCAGGTCAATGGGAAACCCGCTGCAGCTGCGCCTGTCGTGCCACCGAAGAAGGGCAAGAATATTGCGGCTGCGCGTGCTGCTAAAAAGATGAAAAGCAATGCCGGGAAGCTCTTTGGAAAGCATGCCTACAAACAGCAGCCACCGACCGCAGAACAGCAGCAAGGGAAGATGACCGAATCTATGAAATGCGAAAAGCTATGGTGGACCAGCAGCCTATTCGCAAGTTCGAGCAATTCCCTCCTCCCGTCTCTGATGTTCGCTTTGATGACGAAATTCTTGAGACTGAGTCTCTGACCGACTCTCAAATCGCCGTGGGACCACCTGTTGATTCTGATCAACCACGACGCGCCGGACGAGTTCCAAACCATGGCACCAAACGCCTGCGAGAGGATCCGTCGCGCTTCTCCTCACCTCAGTTCGAACCCGCCATGTCGTCGCGTCCTTCAACGCCAGCAGTGGGGCCGGCACCTAAGCGGGTCAAGCTCACCAACGGACAGGGCGCCAGGACAAAACGATCGTAAGTATCCTCAGCTCATTTTCTCAGCATCCTTGTCAATTTCTCGGCGTTGGTC